CGGGGGCGGGGGGAAGCTAATTAGTAAAAGGGAATTAGTAAAAGCATTTGCTGTGCAAATGACCCAAGTTCATGTAGGTCTAGAACCTATGTAAAAACCAGGAAGGGGTGGCATACATCTGAGCCCAGCACTCTTAACACTGAGAAGAAGGCAGAAAGAGAAAACATGCCAAGGAGCCTATGGGCCAGCTACCGCTGCATAGTGGCAGAAACAAGACAGACCTCACCTCAACAAAGTAGAAGGTGAAAAATAATTCCTAAAAGCAGTTCTCAGGTCTCCACACATGCATTATGGCCCAAAGCCAGCCAGTAAAGCCTAACTGAGGATCTCCAGACAAGCAAGAAACTCGCCTGTCTCTCCCACCCCCTCAAAAAAAGGGGGGGGGGTAGAGGCTGGAGAGATGCCTCAGTGCACTGGCTGCTCTTCCAGAGGGCACAGGTTTGATTCCCAGCACATACATGGCAGCTCACAACCATCTCTAACTCAAGTCCCGGGGAATCCAAAGCCCTCTTCCCACACATAGTAAGTACACAGACATAAGAAGTCAGAACACTCACACGTAAAACAAAATAAAATAAAATAAAAAATGAAAGAGAGACAGCACCCAATGCACAGTGCATGCATGTGAGTGTGCACACTGTTTTATAAACATGACTCGCACAGAGGAAATGTTCAGGAATCAGCAGCTTCTACAGCCACTATGGCTGGATGCTGTCAGTTTATTTTCATCCAGAAACAGTTGAGGACATTGTGATACTTGTGAAACCCAGCTGGAGAGAATTCTCCCTATTCCTGACCATGCCTTTCATCTTTGAAATGAGAAAAAGGTCTGGAAGTTTGTGGAAACCAAGTGAAGTCTGGGCCTTGCCAAGAATGGATTTTACATTGAGAAGAAAAGAAAATCTATGGGCAACCAGGGGCTGCTGATCAGAGAAACGCACCAGTCACCTTTGGAAACTGGGAAAAGTTTCTGGAGTCCATCTCTGGGAACCTTCTGGTCAATGGGAACTGTTAATACCTATCCATCAGGGCTCCTGTAAGAAATAATTGTGAGAATGGCTGAATGCTGTAAAACCACTTAAATTGATAAGGAAAATGCCAGCCTGGGCTGTAGGCTAGGTGGGTGCAGGGGAAGGGTACTGAAGAACAAGAAAGAGCCTGGCAGCCCTGACCTCCCTGCCTCTGGCCCAAAAAAAGAGTAGGCAAGACCTGGTCTGACACATTACCCTTCCCTTATAGCCCTGCCCAGGCCACCCAGTCAGTTAGGGAGAGCCAGTGGCAACTCCAGCAGGCAGATAGCCTCAGAAGCACGAATGCCCCAAGCATCCTGGAGAAAGAAGTAAAATTTGCCTGCCCATCCTAGCTCACCAGCACCAAACCCTGGTATTGCCGAACTTTGGGTTTGTTTCCTGGAAATGAGTACTCGAACAAAAACTAAAACCTAAGCTGTGATATGGAAAGCCAATGTGCCTTTCAGTCCTGAGTCCTGAGTCCAGCCCCTGATTGCCCACAGATTTTTTTTTCTTCTCAATGTAAAATCCATTCTTGGCAAGGCCCAGACGTCACTTGGTTTCCACAAACTTCTCCTCCAGGGTAAACCTGCCCCTCTGTGCATTCAGAACAACCCACCCCCAACTCACATATCCTCACCAAGCTCTATTGGGGACATTCACAAGTTACCTGGAATCCTTATAACAGCATTTTTTTTTTTAAGACAGGGTTTCTTTTTTTTTTAAGACAGAGCCCTGGTTGTCCTTGACTCTCTTTGTAGACCAGGCTGGCCTCAAACTCATAAAAATCTGCTGGGATTAAAGGTGTGTGCCACCACCCCTGGCAACAGCATCTCTTTATAGATGATAAAAATGAGTTCCAAGGTGGAGATGAACTTACCCAAGGCCCCAGAGGTGATCCAGAAGCCATAGCAATATTCTACACAGATCTGCCTGGATCCAAGTTTCCAATGGTAAAATAGACAATGGGAGATGAAAACGTACAAGAGCTGTATATATAGGGTGCAGAGGGAACGCCTGTCAGCCTCTCACTTTGTTGAGCCCCAGTTTCAGTTTTACTTTTGGCCTTCTCTTCTAACTGAAACCAGCTTCAAGGGTCAGTGATAGATAAGGTAGAAGGATAAGCTCTCAAGGGCCTCCTCCCTCACACCCTGCAGATCGAGTTGTTCCCGCCTCCATGGTGCCGGCCCAGCTTTTTCTGTTGGGTCTTGGATTTGTTTTAGTTTCTCTTGTTAGTGGTAGTTTGTTTTGTTTTGTCATTGTTGATATAGTACTGATGGTAGTGGATTTTACTTATTTATTTTTGAGGTGGGGATCTTGCTAGATAGCCCAGCCTAGCCTCTAACTCTGCATGCCACCTACCCAGTGGTAGGATTACAAGTGTGTTTGATGCCCAGTTCTACAGCTCGCATAGACAGAATCATAAACAGGCTGAGCTAGGGAAATGTACGACCACTTTCCATGCCTACCCTAACATCGAGCCTGGCCCAGCATGCTGAGGGGCAAGGATGTGATTCTCTCCACCAGCATCTGGCCTGGCACTTACAGGGTTTCATCAGAGGCCTGGGGAGAACACTGCCTACTCCTCCAGCCCCTCTCAGCTTCAGGACTGAAGATGCAGCCTGAAGGATGGGAAACATCTTCTACTTGAGAAGCATCCTCTTCCCTCTCCTTCGCATCCTAACTAGCTCCACAGAGAGTCCCAGATGTCAAGCTCAAATTAGAAAGCAGTCAGGCCTGGCTTGGTGGCGCACACCTTTGATCCCTGTGCTTGGGAGGAAGAGGCATGAGGATCTCTTTGAGTTTGAGACCAGTCTGGTCTACATAGTGAATTCTGGGACAGCCAGACTACATAGAGATGCTGTCTCAAAAACAAAACAAAATAATAACAACAAAGAAGAAAGCAGTCAGTTAAGGAACTCTGGACTCAGGACTCAGGACTGAAAGGCACATTGGCTTTCCATATCACAGCTTAGGTTTTAGTTTTTGTTCGAGTACTCATTTCCAGGAAACACACCCAAAGTTCGGCAATACAGTGGGTAGGAGATAAAAGGAGCTTTCATCTAAACTTCCTATCCAGTTAGAAAAATTAGGGCAGGGAGAGAACTGGGCTGAACTATTCCTGATGCCTCCTCCCCCCTACCCTGCAGAGCAAGCTATTCAGGCTTCCTGCCTCAGTCCTACCTTTTTAGTTTGGGTTTTGGTTTTGCTTTTTAAACGTTTCTCCTTTTTTATTTTATGTGTAAGGGTATTTTGACTGCACATGTGTCTGGCATCACATGTGTACGGTCCCTTTGGATGCCAGAAAAGGGTGTCAGATCACTTGTGAGTTGTGAGCTGTCATGTGAGTGCTGGAAACTGAATCCACACCCTTTGAAAAAGCATACAGTGCTCTTAACCACTGAGCTCAGTTTTATTCTGTTTGAGACAAGGTTTCTCCATGCAGCTCGAGCTAGCCTCCGACTCTGCATCCTCTTGTATCAATCTCCCAAGTGGCAGGATGACAGGGATGTGCCACCATACAGCCCCGGTGATAAGATGACTATAAATATTGAGCTGAGTCCAGGGATAAGAGTGATGAGTTTCCCTGCTCAGCCTGAAAGGAGAGAAATCAGTAAGATTTAATAACTTCTATATAAGCCTCTAACTAGTGCATATCTATTTTTTATTATTTTAATTTAGAAACTGTGGGGGCAGTGAGATGGTTCATCAAATAAAGGAAATTGCGGCCAAGCCTGATGACCCAAGTTCAAATCCCAGGACTCAAATAGCTGTTCTCTGACCTTCACATGCTTGCCATGGCATATGCATGCCCCCAAAGCACATACACACATACACAAACACACAAATGTCACACACACATACATACACGTAAGTGTGTTTCTTAAATTGTCTTCTTCAAGAAAGTTAAACCAAAGAACACACAGTTACATAGTCAAAACATACAGCTGAAGCACACATGTATTGTTCAACAGTCAGTTCCTAATGGCTCAGCAGGGTTCCAGCTTTATACGCAACTTATAGTGCTAACTTCTGTGGTCTTAGCTTTTCCTGGCTTTAAACAAAAAACAAAACAGTCTGACCTCTCAGTACTAGAAACTGAAAGCACAGCCTGGAATTGGACTTACATGACTGTTATGAGAACTGTTAAGTTTTAAGTGATGTTTTTACTCAGGGGAACAGAATGAATTTGAACTTTATTAAAAGTCCCACTCAACTGGAACATACCAAGTGGCTTGTCTGCAAAAACCTACTACCTGAACCAAGTCAATAGAGTCCTATTAAAGTGAAGAAGACATTCGCCCAGTTCCGATCTCAAGACATTATGGATTAACAAAGAGGCTGGTGTTTGAATGTGGCTCAGTTGGCAGAGCGCTTGCCTAGCATGCAAGAGGGCCTCACAAACGTGTGAGGGGCCTCACACCTATAATTCCAGCACTCAAGAGGTGGGGGCAGGAACATCAGAAGTATAAGACTGAGCTCACTAAATACCAAGTTTGAGGCCAGCCTGGGCTACCTGAGGCCTTGGCTCAAAACAAAACAAAACTCAGAAAGAAAAGAGAAAAGAGATAGAGGGATGAAAGGAAGATAAAGCCAGAGCCGGGGATTTGCCGGATGATCATGAAATGAGTCAGCTAACAAGAGAAAAACCCACTGCCCAGCAGCAAATTCAACTTCAGACATTCAACCCCAAGAACCTATCCTGGTTTGATAGGAGAACCCAACCCCCAACTTGCCTGCCTCTTCTGCCTTCTATTAAGACTGTTTTCAAGCAGGGAAGCGTCCAACCAGCCCACTTCAACAATAGCTGACATTCAGCAGATGGAGCTGACCCACAGCTGATACCTGATCCCAGCAGCAGTTGGAAGTGTGGCTCCCTCACTACAAAGCTCCTCTCTTCAAAACAGCAAGTCAGACCGGAGAAGACAAGAGTCACATTAAAACACTACACCCATCCCTGGCCCACCCTCGGCCCCACCCCATACTTACTATGGGGGCTAGCATTTTCTTTGGCAAAGTTTGGGTCTCAACTTCAGCTTAGCTGCAGCGTGGATGCCTAAGGCACAAAGGGGGCAGAGCTCAGTATGTCTGTAACAAGAAGCAGAGTCCCCAAGTCTCCAGGGGCAGGTTAGCTTTTAGCAGGGTCCTCCGGGAGCAGCCACCAAACTCCTACAGCTTTCTCACTGGCCTTCTGCTCTGCCTTGCGCTTGCCCGTGCCTGGCTGCAGGGCAGGAGAGGCTCACGGGAACCCGGGTCCCCACACGCTTCCTGGCCAGGCTTTCGTGCTGCTTTTCACCGCGCCGGCGGATGCAAGGCGGTGGCAGCTGCTCTCCTGACTTGTTTACGCCCCGCCCGACCGCTCTCCAGTTCCCAGACTGCTCTCACGGCCCTCAGAGGCACCCGGGTTTCTCACCTTTGCTAAGGTCCCAGAAACAAGCTCTCCGCACTCCTCACGCCCCGGAGTAGGCAAGCGGAGGGCAGCGTACAGGGAACCCGGTTTAAAGGCCGCGGAGTCCCAGCCGCGCCAGGTCACCCCGCCCCTCCTCCTGTAACTGGCTAATGAGAGCATCGCCAAGGGCGTGCCACAGCTCCATTGACACTTAGATGGCTCCCTCCTGCTGCGTTCCTGGCCACTCTGCTCCTCTGCCCCAGATTCCCTAGCCTTTGACAACCTATACGCACCCCTCTGTCAGTGCCTAACATGTAAGAACATGTCACATTACATTTAATTTTTGTACATGAATCATACCGAAAGGTAATTTGTCTCTGCCACTCAAGAGTGGCACATGCCTGTAATCCTAGCATTTGGAAAGCTGGATTTAGCAGGATTGCAATGAATTTAAAGTTAGCCCGGGCTACAGTTTGAGATCTTGTCTTAATAATAATAATAATAATAAAATAAGAACAACAACAATAACTGGGCATAGTGGTTCATGCTTTTGGTTCCTACACTCAGGAGGCAGAGGCAGGCCTACCTCTGTGAGTTGGAGACTAGCCTGATCTACATAATGAATTCCAAGACAGCTAGGGCCTTGCCTCAAAAATCCAAAATGTAATAATAAAAATAATAACAACAGTAATACGGGGCTGAGATGATGGCTCAGGGGTTAAGAGTACTTGATCCTGGAGAGGGCCTGGCCTGGGGTTTGGTTCCCAGCACCCACATAGCAGCTCCAGCCATAGGTAACTCCAGTTCCAGGGGATCTCATACCTTCTTCTGACATCATGGAGCATGAGGCACACACCTGGTATATATGCATACATGCTGACAAAACACACATATTTGTTGTTGTGGGGTACTCACCAGAGAAGACTGCTTGGACATGGGTTTAAGCCAATAAAAAGTCTTTATTAACCTGGCTGTCAACTGCACTGGGTGTTCAGGGTCCCAGTGTAGCACTGAGGATTTCTCAGGGTGAGCTTTTAAACACACAAACCATGTTCTGAGTTGACATACTACAGTTACCAAGAACAGTTAGCAAAAAGTGGAACTACAGAAGCCAAAGAGCAAGGTTAGGGCATTTTGAGACTTTCCCAGAACAAGGTGGACTTTGATGGATTAGGCTTTCGTTTCAGCTTTGGCTGGTAGTATTGTCTATGTGCTGAGTTTTACAGACTGAATGGCACTTCCATCATGAGTCAGTTGTGCTAAAGTCTCAGGGCCTACTAAGTCTGAGGCACTGCTACACTCATAAAATAAATCTCAAAATATTTTTAATTGAAGGAGTTAAATAAAAATATACTCCTTGGCATTATTATTGAGGAACTTGAAAAATGTAACCTCTTTTGGTTTCCTTTTCAGTATTCAGAGAATACTTTATTAGTTTCCATAATTAAATCCATGTGCATGAAACCTTAGGTGTTTAAAAACAGTGCCCTAGCACAAAAATAAAATAAAATAAACATTTTGGAGCAATGTGGATGCTGTTAATTTCTATATGATGCTCTTTTCTGTTTCTTAAAAAGCAGGAGATGAAGCCCTGCATGGTGGCATACGCCTTTAAACCCAACACTCAGGAGTTAGAAGCAGAAAGATCTCTGTGAGTTCAAGGCCAGCCAGGCCTTTATAGTGAGATCTTGTCTCAAAAACAAAATAACAAAGCAGGAAGTGTAATTCCCATATGCTAGCTTCCCTCACTCTGTGAGAAAGAAACCACCACCAGAGCCCTGGATTCCATTCCAGCACTGCCCCAAAAGAATTGTAATAATTTGCCTTTTCAGACTCCCCACTTAATGTAAGCACTTCTGTAAAACCTAAGAGGTGTAAAATGAATTCTTAAAAAAAAAAAAAAAAACAGGGTTAGCTTTTTATTGGACATGTTAATAAAAGAGGTTTAGTCAAAACAACCAAAGCCCATGTCTCATTAGAGTCTGCCTTTTTGCTTCCACTTTTCTTCTCCTCAGCTGGAGCAGCAGTGGTGGAAAGGGGAAGACCACCTGCTGGCATGGCTCCAACTACTAGAACAGACCCACCAGTCCCTATATTGCAATTGAAGCTCCCAGTGTTGAGATTTCCAGGGACTTTACAATGAAGCCAGATCAGTTAACACTAACTCCAGCTGCTTCAGTGAAGGCATTAATCTTACCCTCCATGACTGTTACCTTGTAGCCATGCAAGGTGAGGGCAGAGTAGATCCAGGTGAGATGGAGGCCATGTCTCAGACTGCTGGCATGGTGCTAGTGATCTGATGAAGTGAGGGCTTCACCAAAATTTGGCCTTGGCTTCCTCGGAAGGACTGAGAAGCTTGGCAGCAGCTGAGGAAAGGCTAAAATGAATTCCAAATCATATCTATATTCCTCCATTCTATGCCCAAACTGAGTATTTGAAGTGAGGATGCTCAGGCCAAATTCTAGCCTTGCCTTTACTACTTTAAAAGTCTACAGTGTAGGCCAGCTGGTGGTGGCCCTTGCCTTTAATCCCTTGGAAGACAGAAGCAGGCAGATCTCTGTGAGTTCAAGGCCAGCCTGGTCTAGAGAGTGAGTTCTAGGAAAGACAGGGCTACACAGAGAAACCCTGTCTCAAAAAAACAAACAACAATAAAAAGAGAGTCTACAGTGTGTAGTTCCTTCTGAGCCTTATTCTGTTCATCTGTAAAAAGGGTTATTGGTGCTATTAGACAATGTATAAGAAGATATTCACCAAAGAAAGAACTCAGTAACTTGCTGTGCACTGTTTGCCTCATGGATTGATCCATTAGAGACGGCTCTGCCCAATCACCTCCCAACAGTCCTACCTTTTAAACTCTGTCAACATCTAGCACTGGGAATTCAGTTTCCAGCATATGAACTCTAGGGAACATTTAAACTGTAGCATCTGACAAGGCAGACAAGATCCAACTTGTTCCTTGTCTGCAGCTTCCAGGCTTTTCTACAAAGCTGTTCAGCTTCTGAAAAGAAAAAGAACAATACTACTTTTTTAGGAATTTGTTGTCTTTTCACTCTGTCTTCTGAGCCAACTTTGAGCCGGATTCACAGACCCCATGAAGAATCTAAGCAGGCAGAGGAGGGGCCACTGTAGAATAAGGGAAGGGGTGGGGCTAGCAGAAGCCATTTGTGATGTCTCCTCTACACAAGGGCCAGAAAGCAGAGACTCCTGGATGACATGAGGGACTGTGTTGCTTAACATCAGACAGAACAGGAAATCTCCCCAAAGGGAGGCTCCTTTAGCCAACTGAATACAGAGGTTTTTGTGTGTGTGGTAATGCTTGGCAAAAATGTCAATTAAGTTTGCTAGGCTTTTATGAAAGACAACAGTGAAGTGCTTCTTCCAAATCCCCTCCCTTTGAAGCCCCCAAAGTATCACCAGAGAACAAATCTCTGGTGAAATGCCCTAAAGCACAGCCCCGTTGTAAATGTGCAGCATAAACCTATCTCAAAAGAGCATTGAGACCCTTTACCCTAGTCAACATACCAGGCTTAAGTGTCTCATGAGTTTGCTAAATGGCTATTTTAGGAAACTAAGGAGTGAAATGGGTTCTTGTATTGGCCAGCAGACTTTCCTTTGGTGACTCTAGTAGGAGCAGATTATCATAAGTGACCTGGGTCTGCCTCTCCTTCACTAGTACTGACGGCAAAGGGCACGATTCAAGCCATACCAACAGAAAGCCTTCTCTGGAATGGAGCTAAACATGTTTTTAATAGACATGGGTTTAAAAAAAAATTAAAGACTCTTTCCTCTGGTGACATTTAAAGTATGATGACATAAGGCTAGAACCATTTGTGACAGCCTCCCCGAAGGCATCTGAGAAAGCGATATGCCATGGCACATTATTTATTGCAGTGATAAGAGCCCTAAAGAGATTTTCTCCAGTGTCTGCTGTCAGTTTTGCACTTAGACATCCATTCAAGCTGGATGTGTCAGCTGCTAGGTAAGCTAAAGCAAGTGTCAGTACAAAAGGGGAGCCGCGATTGGCCTCACACTCCTTACCCTGGTCCTAACACGAGTAAAGACAGCAATGATAACCCCCCAAAATTGGATGTCTTCTCTCCACTCCTGTTTCAACCTGAGTTTGCCCCTCCCCTGCTAACCTGTGAGGACTTTCTGCTCATGTAGAATAATACATGGTACAATCCACAACCAGGGATGGAAGGCAGGATGAATGCTGACTCCACATGGAGTTGGAGAGATGGCTCAGTGGTTAAGAGCACTAGCTGTTCTTTAAGGGGTCCTGAGTTGAATCCTCAGTATCCTTGTGGCAGCTCACAACTGTCTCTAACAGGAGCCAATGCCCTCTTCTGGTGTGCAGATGGACATGCAGAGAAAGCATCCATATACATTTAAAAATATAAAAGAATCATAGCTTAGTTGGTAGAGTATTATCTGGGAACCCACCAGAGATGGCCATTCAGACACAGTATACAGTCAACTGAAAATCTTTATTCCAGCCAGCTGGAACTATACTTGTTATTTGGGACCCAAGTGTAGCACCAAATGTTTAGGATAACTGATTTTTAAAGGCAAAAATCACATCCTGTTATCTCATTCAATAGCTGCCAGGGGAGCTTAACAGAAGCTGAGGAATCCCTGTTTTAGTGTCCTTTGCAATAGACAACGGCCATCCTCTTAGTTTCTGTTACAGTCCAAGAATAGCCGCACAAACCACTCAGACATCACTCTCAGTCAGATATAGATGGTTTATTGAACACACAACCCAAGACTGATCATGATCAGGAACACAGTGGACTCAGGAGTCAAACTGTGACACCAAGTCATTTTCAGAGTGAGCTTTTAAAGGAGAAAACCACAACCAAGCAGGAAGAATCAATTCTATTCCAG